TATTGGTGGTTTTTCGTATTATGAGTCGGAGAATTTTGTTCTTCCCCGAAAAACGCGAAATTTCATTTTCCACCCCCTAGCACCCCCTTGGACCAATCGAAAGGACTTGATCATTTTCCTGGGGGTTGAATAAGTTGCGCTGAGTATTTTTTCATTAACATTTGTTGGTGGTTTTGCATATTATTAGTCGGAGATTTTTTTTTCCCCCCGAAAAACGCGAAAATTTCATTTTTCTACCCCCTAGCACCCCCTTGGACCAGCCTGAGAGACTTGATGATTTTTCTGGGGGTTGAGGGAGTTGCGCTGAATATTTTCTCATCAATGTTTGTTGGTGGTTTTGCTTATTATTAGTTGGAGATTTTTTTTTCCCCCTGAAAAACGCGAAAATTTCATTTTTCCACCCCCTAGCACCCCCTTGGACCAGTCTGAGAGACTTGATAATTTTGCTGAGGGTTGAGGGAGTTGCGCTGAGTATTTTTTCATCAATATTTATTGGTGGTTTTATGTATTATTAGTCGATTTTTTTTTCGCCCGAAAAACGCGAAAATTTAATTTTTTCACCCCCTAGCACCCTCTTGGTCCACTCTGAAAGACTTGATGATTTTTCTGGGGGTAGGGGGAGTTGCACTGAGTATTTTTCCATTAACATTTGTTTGTGGTTTTTTTTATTATGAGTCGGAGAATTTTGTTCCCCCTGAAAAACGCGAAGATTTCATTTCTCCACCCCCTAGCACCCCCTTGGACCAATCTGAAAGGCTTGATCATTTTCCTGGGGGTCGAGGGTGTTTCGTTTAATCTTTTTTTATAACAATGTGCTGGTGGTTCTGGCTATTTATGTTGCAGAAATTTTTTCTTCCACAAAAAAAAGACAAAAATTGAGATTTTCATCTCCCTACCACCCCCTTGGCCTGAACAAAGGGGGTTGATCATATTGTGGAGAATGGGGAGGCTGTTCCAGATCATTTCGGAATTTAGAACTTAAATAGGAACAATTTTCAGTTTTCGTATTAAGGTATGGGGCCCCACAGATCCTTGCTACGGCCCTGAACTTTCGCTGCCAAGTCGGCTGCTAACTTCAGCGTCATAGTTTCGTCTCTGCACTAGAATGTTTAGTATTGAAAATGGGCTCAATCGGATTATTAGTTTGGGAGATATTCAAGTTTGTATGTGAATCTAGTTTCTTGAAAATCTCGAAAACTATTCAACCGATTTCATTTTTTTTTTCAAAATATTCGTCTTGATGTCCCCCATCTCACACAATCAAAATATATATACCGGTTCATTCAAAGTTTTCGAGATATGTCAATTTTTCTGTTTTTGCTGAAAATGCTTGTTAGCACTCTCACTTAGGGGACGGTGGGGCAAAATGAAACACGGGGCAAAATGAAACAGCAAGAAAATCTTGTGATCTAAGGGAGATAGAACGATTTTCATGAAAACCTTTTTTGTAGAGAATTTTACAAGCTACAAAAAAGGTTCTCTTCAAAAATGTCCTATCTCCTTTAGATGACGAGATTTTCCCACTGTTTCATTTTGCCCCGTGTTTCATTTTGCCCCATGCTCCCCTACGCAAAAATCAATATATTAACTTGAAATTTGGCATGAATTTTCCTCTCTGCACTAAAATGTTTGGTATTGATGACGGGATCAGTCAGATAATTAGTTTGGGAGGTATTCAAGTTTGTATCTGAATATATTTTCTTGTATGTCTCATCAACTACTCAACCGATTTCAATTTTTTTTTCTTCAAAATACTCGTCTTGTTTGTAATGTCCTTCCTTTTCTTTTATTATTCCTATCCTTTTCTAAATCTTTTTTCGCCGTTTATTTATCTCTTTTTGCTTCCGAATGAAAGCCTTGTATTTGGGCGATTTTTCGATTTTCTAATTTTGATGGAAAATGGTATAGAATGTTATGAAACGTGAAGAAATGATGTTTTTAGGGTCATGTCTGTATGTATGTATGTGATAACTTGGGTTTTTGGTGATCATTTTTTAGAAAATTCAACATAAATACGGTAAAATTTGTCGATAAAAGTCTGAAATTTTGGCCCATGGTAGCAATGATTAACCTTCACTTTGGTACGCAGTTTCAGCCCGATGGGTCCAGTAGTTCCTGAGATATAACAACTTCTTGAAATTTCCTTTTTTCTCAATATCTCAAAATCTACTCTACCGATTTCAATATTTCTTTTCTCAAAATACTCTTTTCGGTGGCCTCTATCTAGATAAATCAAACTATATATACTCGTTCAGACAAAATTTGAAGATATTGCCGTTCTTCCGTTTTTTTATGAAAAATCTTGTTTACACGATAACTTGATAAAAAATGGAGATAGGGAGTTGAAATTTTGTATGCTTCAAGCTTTTATAACATTGGCCGAGCGGTTCTTGAGTTATTCAACCTTTTGTGTAAATATATTTCTTCAAATTTCTCATGAACTACTGGACGGATTTCAATTTTTTTTTCAAAATACTTGTCTCGGTGGCCACCATCTAGATCAATCAAAATATGTATACCTGTCCATACAAAAAATCAGAGATGTTGCCGTTTGTTCATTTTTTAAATTTTTTCATTCTTGTACGCACGATATTTTGAGGAAAAATGAAAATAGTAAGTTGAAATTTGGTGTGATTATAGCTCTTACAATATTGAAGATTCGTATTTTGGATAGGAGCAATCAGCCCAGCAGTTTCGGAGATATTTAACCTTTTCTACAAATCTATTTCATTAAAAGGTTGAATTTCTTCCTGTAGACATCCAGTGGCATGTGATTACGGTTGTATACCTGTCACAAGGACCGGGAATTGCTACGGATTCATTCGGAAGCTTATTACCAATAGAATTGGTAGAAATAAAAAAAAGAAAAGGACTAATAACGCAAAAAGTAACGGTCACATCGAGCCTTCTGTCGGATGGGCTCGAACCCCTGCTTGTTTAAACTTTTTGTACAATTAATTTTAACTTTAAAATCAGGGCATTGAAGATCAATTTGTTTTCAAATTATTTTTCGACGGTATCGTCAAAACTATCTAAACGATTTCAATATATTGCTTTATATATTTATATTGATTTTTTCTATCTCAGCCCATCAAAGTGTGTAAATTCATGAACCCTCCCTCCCTCCTTCGTTTCCCTGATAGTGAAACGATGGAACAGACATCCCTCCCCCCCGTATCCCGAAATGTCTTACGTGATGTATGTACAGTCCCCAGTAATTATTGAATTGTTTTCATTCAATCTTTTTCAATTTTATTACAAACTCTAAGCGATAATAAATTTTTAGAATCAAAAACATATTTATTTAGTTCAAAGAAAAAATGTATTTGATTCAAATAGAGATATAAGAAAACTGTTTATTCAGTACAAATAAATCATTTTTCTGGGTGTATGACAGCGCACCATATGACAGTGAACATGTCACTGAATGACGTCTCATTTTTTTCATCAATACATTGATAGCGGGCTTCTGAATGGTCGGAAATATTACAAAAGTTTATAGGTTCAGAATAGTAACTAGCGGGACAAATTTCAGATGTTTACTGCTACCTCCATGGGAGCTATAAAAATTTTGATGTTTCGGAAACTCTGTATGAACGGGTGTATATGTTTTGATTGATTTAGATAGAAGACATCGAGGGGAATATTTTGAAAACAAAAAATCGAAATCGGTCCACCAGTCTTGAAGATATTTGTGTAAAACGATTTAAAAACGAATTGCTTTTTCTCAAAAACTATTAATTCTATTGGGCTGAAATTTTGCATAGAATTAATCCTCATTAAGACCTATAGTCTGACGAAAATTTACATTTTTTGGAATTACTTTGACCGCTTAATTACTCAATTTTCTGCAAATTGACCACCGGGAAGGCGGCAGTGGACATGCTCACATATAGTCATGCGCGGAGAGAAAAGTTGGATAAAAATTACCTCGAAAATCATGACAAATTTTATTATACGAATGGTAATCGTGGAGCGAAACGTAATTCAGTGAAAAAATTCTGGTTTTTAGTAGATATATTACGATTTTCTCGGTAAAGAAATACATCTATGTATGCAAAAATGATTCTCCTCTTTAGTAAAATTTCCCACACCGCCAGGGATTGCCTGTTTCGTACCCGTCTGAAGATCATAGGAACGGACGGAAATGAATTTTTACCAAACGGGTTCGGTAAAAATACGAAAAATTGGAGCAATTATTCACGTTCACTGGGATAATTTTTTATGTGATATAAGGTACATTTTACAGTTTCGGTACAAATCCCCCTCACGTTTAGTAAATTTTCCCGGGCCAACGAGTACAAATTCACTATTAAGCTCGCACTTGTTCTCCTATTTAAGGTGAAAAACTACTGGAAATCCAGGCTGCTCCACGATAACTTGACTTGTTTGGTATTTTTTCTCCGTGTGGTCGCCAAACTTCGTATTTTTGCATTTCAAACCATCCCACATCATTTCCAATCAAAATTAGAGAATGAGAAAATTGGACGATTACAATGCTTCCATTCGGAAGCAGAAAATTCGTGATTATTAATATTTGCCATAAGGCTTCCTCTCAATATTGCAAAAAATGGATTGAAGAAAAGATGGGGGGTTAAACCAGATGGTTAGATTCAGGATTCTATGGAAAAAAGACACGGAAGAACATGAAAAAAATCCCACGAAAATAAAACCCATGGAAAAAGGTCAATCGATGTTTTCTTGTTACTCGTTTAAGGATATCCATGTATCTTTTACAGTTGGGTACAGATCACGCTAGAGATTCAACCATTTTCAATTAAATTACATGATCATGAAATTTGTCAATTAACTTACATGAGAATTTTTTTTTCTTAAATCATGAATATTCTGCGTCATTCAAATAACATTTTGCACGGAATTATTTTCATCGTTCATGCAAAGTTTTCGACTGAATTCTTTTTTATTGGAGATTTTTTTGGATGAATATTTTTTTGTTAAAGATCATTTTGAGAAAATCTAAAGGATCCCAACAGAAAGTCGACCACAAAGGTTGAAAAAAGGGAAGAACAGGTCACAAAGGAGGATTAATCGAAAAAATCACATGGAGAAAAACTTTCTACGAAAATTGATGTGCTAGCACCATGTACTGAACATAGTATTATAATTGAACACTTGGAAAAATTATCGTTCTATACCAGAAATATTAGTTTTCAAGATGTTAGACAATTTTTTTTGTAGATTTTTATGAAGTGATTTTTTCAAGTATCTAAATAAGTAGTTTGGTAACTTTGGTTTTCTACTGATAATATTATTACATAATAATCCGATGAAATTTTTCATTGTCGATTTGAATTCTTTGGTATTTTTTTAATGTATTCTATGAAAATGTGAGAATAGGAATTGAATTTATGGGTATTGGTTCATTATTCGAAAAAATATATCAATTTAAAAATGTTCCCTAGACAATGAAAAATAAAAAATTCTGTTTTCGTGTTAATCTCGTTTCTTACAGAAATTTCTAATTTTTAATTTCGATCGCAGCAATTAAAAATATTAATCTCTTTTCATTTTTTAAGAAAAAAACAATTTGAAAAATTTCGAGTAGACAGAAAAATAGACTTTTTCATTTTATTGATATTGATTGATGATGATCGATCTCTTTTTGCAATTTTCTTCTTCGGTTCCATTGAAATGAGATCAAAGGCATGTAAAATGTTGAGATTCGTTCACATTTTCAAATCATTGGCACTAATTAATTTAAAGCAAAAGAAACAAATGAAAAATTTTAGGTATGATTATCCATCATACCTAAAAACTGATCTGTATTCTCACGTGATTTATGGGGAATTCCTCTTCATTCAATCTTGTAACTTGTGAATTAAGGAACAAAAATATAGATAATAACAACAATAATGAATGAAATTAAATTAATCTAATTGTGAAGATGGAAATGGAAATAAAATAAAATAAAATAACATAGTATAAATTAATCTATCCAATTATTAAGGATATCCAAGTGGTTCAGGTGATTTTTTCTGGGGGAAATCCCCTTCAGAGTTTATAGACTAGACCAAGAGTATTTTTTAGGCGCAGTATAAACTTTAGTTTCCGAACATATTTTCGAAAAAACGATTTTTGAAAGAATGGAATTTAACACATTGCGTCCATAAGAGCTGTATACTGCCACCTTCAATCCAATAGTTCATAGTCTTAAAGCGTTTTCTCGTACACATAACCGTATATGACTTTGTTCGTTATACTCTCTAGTTTTTTTTTGCGATATTAAAAAACATAAGTTTCCGGACAGATAATTGCAAACAATCAAATTAAAAGCTTCTTGATTGGTACGACAGCCATATTGGGTGGTTTGAATCCGTGCGTTCCTAACGTCTGGCAACAGTCCGCTCAAGTGACTACTCGGACCGAATTTACGAGGTTATATGGAACACATGTGCAGTGTTGCCGTATGATCATTAGAGGTTAGACCAACGAGAGTCAAGTGTGAAATTGAATAAAATATTGTTCACAATATTCATTGAAGAAATTCCGGAAAAAATGTATTCGACAATGAAAAATTCGAAAAAAGTATGGGGACGGCAAGATTTTCGACAAAACTGAAATCTTGCTTGAAAAAAAGTTGCCAATTTGAACGAAGTACTTGGATATCCTTAAGTAGTCTATACAAATAATCAAATGTAACTCTTCTGGAATTTATCATTAATGTATGGATGACAAAAGCTTTAATGCATCGCTACGTAGAATATTTGCAGTCGCCTGTTTGTTTGGTTTGCAAATATCCTGGCAACTAAAAGGTTTACAGAAAAATGTCCGAATACATTTTCTGTGATAAGGTTTTCTACAATGACGATATCCTGATGACTGTTTCTGAAGTTTTCCCCTTTGAAAACATTACGCAATAATCTTCGAATAAAGCGAAAAGCCATTCCGTAACTCCATTTACATCAAAATATTCTATCTTTATTACGTATTATCACGCATATAAATACAATATGTTACATAGTTTTTTTCCTATATACATACGTCTGTATTCTCAAGTAACTCGTGGAAATTACATTAAAGCCTGTTACACATATAATTTCGGTAGTAATGTGTTAAAATGAGTCAAGTCAATCATAAAAACTTATTAATTGCACGATTGTCTTTGGAAACCTCTGATTCTAGAAGAAAATGTCAAAAGAGCTTTTTCATAGCCGAGAAAATTTCCCTAAAAAAAGCCCACTTACATTTTCACCTGAACTCAGTGATAACCGGGATGATAATCTCATGATTAACAATTATTGAAATCATTTTATCACGTCATCACTACCTTGTGCATTATAATCATGAATGATTTATATATTTCACTTGCATCCTCATTCATTTCTCCACTATAATCCATCAGTAAAGATCTGGTCAGTATTAGGTCATGGGCACCGGGCCCTCTTATACGGCAGAATAACAATTTCCAATAACAAAATAAAAACAAATTAACATAAATAGAATAATGTTTCCTCCACTTTTAGTATTTCCATAGAAAGCACAAAGATAATTGTGAAAAATTGGAACATTCACATGAAAGAACAGTATTAATTGGTCATTTTATAAGTTCTTTGCACGTTTGTTTATCTTAAAGGCACATTTGAAATATGGATGATTATAAAAATTTGCTCAAGTAAGTTAAGGCCCTGAAAGTTCTACATATATGGATTGATTACCTACAATCATAGGTATATCTTCTATCCCCAGGCAATCTGTTCCATTTGCAGTACCATGAACGAAAGAGGGAGTTTTCTCATTAATGAATAGAAAAATATAAAAGATTAGGAATTCGTTTAGCCAAAATCACAGACAAGCCTTTCAAACTTTCCTCCCAGTCAATGAGCCGTAAAATCCATTGCCATTAAAAAAAAGATTTTTTTTTCCCAGTAAAGTAGATCATCTTAAATTCGGAGAAATACGTCAATATAAATAATATAAATATAGGTTTGAATATGTTGTTTTAAACTTATTACTATACATCGTACTTACATGCAACATATTATATTTCTCTATATAATATAATATATTTGTGGATTTTTATTAAACATCTTCTGCATACTATATAAGTCACATCGAGTCAATATACATACGTGTGCAGATATATATCGGTTGTCAAGAGGTAAAACGAAATCACTTAATTGAACACGTATGAAAAAATTCAATAGAAAACCTAGCGAATTCGCTAGAAAATTCTATTGGAATCCTATAGGAATTCTATGGGGTTTCTATAGATTTCCATTATAATTCTCTTGAAAAATTCTTTTTATTTTTTGCACTGTTTCTATTGCATATTCGATAAGAAAAAGTCGATAGATTTAGAATTTCTATTTGAATTTTTTCTCTTGAGACTTTTTTTATAAAAATGCTTGAGCATCAATTTTCTAAGTTTTTTCCACTCTGATTCTGTAATGCAAACCAAACAAGATCCAGCGGAAAAAAATCAGAAAATTTGTGCCCAATAATTCTAATAGAAAAAATCTAAAGAGAAAAATTCGAACAGAAAATTAAAATATATTGATATTTTCTTATAAAATATGTAATAACATCCGCGCAAAAAACAAATAGAATTTTTCAATAAAATTCCAATAGAATTTTCTACCGAATTCGCTAGGTTCTCTATTGATTTCTTTCATGTGTGAACCCAGAGATGAGTTTTTGATGAATATCTCGTGGTCCAAGAGGGATTGCAATGTTTCCGCAAGGAGCTTTACTACAGAGCGAAAGGGGAAGTCCGAAAAAGCTTCTTATTAAAATGTCATTATCGCTCTCGGATTTGCAAGGTCTTCCCCAAAGAACTGATTTTAAAGTGAAGTCCATAATTTCGTTTTACTTCACCACTGATTTCATACCAATCCTTCTCGATACATTTTGATTTTCTCCTTTTATAATTATTATTTTTAAAGTGTAAGAGGACATTGTTGGTTTAATACTGCTACTATCTATTTACACGAGACAATCTTCACCATAAACTCGGGCAAAGTATTTTCTTTTTTATATCAAAATGTCGATAACTAAGAGTACATTAATTAGAATAATGAAAATAACATCGTAGGATTACCAATAATAAGACTGAAAAATCATTAAATTCTTCTTCTCGATTTTCAACCATTTTCATAGTCTAAAATGCCCATGTGAAGTAGCAAGGTGATGAAACAACAGGAGATGGGATACATCACATCAATAATTTAGCAAATATCCTCGAAATTTGTAAATTTTGAGAACAGTGAAAGATGTCATTTGAAGGGTGCTCCTCAGACTTAAAAATGGAGTCTTGGCTTTTTCTCCTGGAGTGATTCATTTTAGAGACAATTATACAATTGACCAAATTTATACTGTAGTTGAAATACACTAGATATTGTTCATTAATGAACCATCTCGCTAGTTCATAACTTGAGGAGAAAAAAGGAGTAGAACCTTTTTCAGTTCATAAAACCGCTTCTCTTTACCCAACAATATCTGATGAATTTCTCCGTTCCGCTTCTCGTTGAAGATATCGACTCTCATCTCTTGTTATGTGCTCACCACTTTCCTACTGAAATTATCCATAGTCGCTCAACATATTCATTCTTCGCTTCGTTCGTATTCTATAATAAATCTTGAAGCACCGATACATTTAATCAGTCAACAATAACGAATGAATTTGTTTAAAGTAAAAAATGTATAAAACAATAATTCATTCGGTTTTCCAAAACCCAACCAACTTTTTGCCATTTAATGCTCCAGACGATACCTGCGTTTAAACTCCATAATACAGCAAATATTGATAAGATATTCTTTGCGTAAAAATCGTAATATAGTAAAGAAATAATTGAAAAAGTGTATATTCCAATATGTTATTCAAACGTTCAATTAGATGAAAAAATAGATCCCTGCATTCAGTACACTATCTATCTCTCTCTATCTCTTTCTTTTTAAAAACATCTAATAAAAATTGACAGTTATGAAATAAAAGCTGAGAGTAAAATTCTTCGTAGAAATATGTATAGGAGATGACTGTAAGAATTATTCTTTATGTATAGCATGCTGACGCAATCAGTGGTTCTACGAATTCATTGCTGATAACAAACTTGATAATCGGTGATTCATAGAAAAAAGATATTCAAAGTTATTTGGTAAGTTTCGTTCGGTTGGCAGCGAGTTCAGCGAGACATGCCAGCGCCTCTAAGTCCGGTGACCAGGCTGTTAAAATTTAAAAGACATCATGTAAATATTTATTTTCATTAGTTGGGTATTGTAAAACTTTTTTTTGTAGACAATGGAATCTCTCCCTATGGATAAGATTTCTTAATTTTTCTCTGGACGCTGCGCATTCTTCAAGTAAAACTCTATATTTTTGGAATATTTGTTTTTCGTTGTTCTAGTGCAATAATAAATTCATCATAAAATTCATACTCACGTTGCCCTCCCTCTTTATCATTTGGATCCTTGGAAACAGTGGCAGATGCATTTCGAGTGATACTTTGTTTTCTAGCTTTTCGTTTTTGGCTCCCAACCAGCAAGGCCTTCTCCGTTTCCTCATGAGAATCATTCAGGTGATTCATTTGTTCATAATTCTGACTCGTATGGCCACGTTTTGCGGAATTCACATGCAATTTTTGGTGAATTTTCTTTTTCTTAGTTCGCTGCTGCTTCTTTTTCTCTTGGAATTCCTCCAAACTCAATGATGGCAAAGCTTCAATTTTTTTCTCTAGATTAAAATCTCTGTAAAAAGAAACGTCATGTAATTTTGATTTCAACTGATGCAATTTGATACTTACTCTGCGTTGAAACGTTTTCGTGCATTCCATGCTGCATATTCCTGATCAGGTTCAGCTCCTTCAGTCTCAGTATCCTCTGGCTTAGATGCTTCAACTCGGCCTTCAGCACTACTCCACGCAAAAAGGAACATTGAGTGAAATAAAGAAAAATTTAATGGGATAGGGGAGAATGGGGCAAATTGAAACAGGCAAAAAAACTATATTCTTATTAAATTTTGTTTTCATTAATTTTTTTTCTATTCTTGGAGTACTGATGAGAATAATGATTGTCCCTTCAGTAGAATGAAAAATTATTGAAAAGTTTTGATGGACGAAGATTTTGTCAATGGATTAATTGAAAAAAAAAATGAAACTGCGAAATCCAAAGGCCAGACCAAGGCCCAGGGGGAAACCCAGAGGGGGATAAAGGAAAATGTGAAGCTGAATTTTAATGGAGTAATCCGTTGACAAAATCTTTGTCCTTCAAAACTTCTTAATAATTTTCCATCCCACTGAATTATTATTATTCTCATCAGTACTCCCAAGAATAAAAAAAAATTAACAAAAAAAATAGTAAAAATTTTTTTTTTGCTCCAATTGCATCAAATAGTCGTTTTTTTTACAGTTTCATTTTGCCCCATGTTGTATTTTGTCCCACTCTCCCCTAACATTAAGAGTAATTCGGGATTAACTTAAGGATTTATTCGAAATTATTGTATTTACAAGAAAGTATTCAAAAATACGTGTTCTCAATTCAATAATCGTCTACAAACAGGGGCTCCTGACATTTTGTTTTAAAATAACTTGTTTTCGAGATCCGAACGAGGCCAAATTGTGCAAATAATTCCGTTTGTTTGATGTAAAAATTGTTCTGCAAATATTTGAGGAATCAGTGGGGATGAAAGAAAGTCTGAAAATATCCGATAAATTCACCAAAAATTGTCCGTTCCAAATCTCCCGGAAATATTTGACTAATCAGTTTGTTTCGGACTCATTTCCGCTTCCGTTATTACCATTTGACAACAGAGAGATAAGGATCCTTTATTCATGAACAACATTTTCTCTCAATATAACTGATTAAAAGAATGAACAAACCTATCAACAAGATGCTCCAAATCGCTGCGTGTGCTATTACCCCCTTCGCTACTTAATGAATCAGTCTTTTCGCTCACATTGGACGATATAGAATTCCTTCGTTCCTTTCTCAGTTTCTCACCACCACCAAATCTTTTTCGTTTTCCTTGGGTCATGGGCACAAGTGTCCTTTGTTGCTCGGCAAGAAATTTTTGGTACCTAACTCCCTTACAGCTCCTTTCCCCTCTATAACTCGTTTCATCAATAGTACCCTCGCTCTCGTCTATGAATGTGCTCTCGTTTTTATTCACCTCCTCATTGAACCGATGCTCCTCATTATTATTGGACTCGGTAGGGTCCTCACACTGGCTGAACAGATCAGCTTTGCAGTCTCGTTTTTGTTCCAAGTCTATTGGCAGTTCGGTGTAACGTTTTTTCGGAGGTTTCGGTATGGAAGAATTCTCCTCAGAGAAATTTCCAAGGGTATCTCCATCACTTGCCGGTTGATGAATCTTTTGGGGTGTGAAGAGTGAACTGAGACCACCGAGTTGGGATTCGTCAGCTAATTTGCCGGGCTGAATCGCGTTCTTTCCGACGTCTGAGCTGGAAGACTCGAAATGTGAGACTGCTGTCTCGGAAGTCTGATCGAACCCCCCAATCTCCTGTTTCTTGTTTGTTGGTCGTGTTGACAATGTTCTCAGAGGTGGTGCCGGTAATTTGTACCACTTGAAGTCCGGATTTGCATTCAGAAATGCATCTTTATACTGGGAATTTATTAATTAATGTAAATTTGTACAACGAGGAAAAATTAAAAGAATGTGAAGAAGTGAGTAAAAATTTAAGATTTTTACCTCTTGCGCCAGATTGATGTAAGACTGTTTTTGGTCCGGGTGAAGTGTCGCCCACCACTCACCAAGGACCCTGGTGACTGCTCGATTTTCAAGATTAGGAAAGTGCGTACGCACGGAAGTACGATGGCGTTTGCAAAATATCAAAAAAGCATTCATTGGACGACGAGCGTGGTGAGCTGGCTCGCCGGACTCTCTGTCCTCCTAAGTAATTAAAAATCCTGATGCTGAGTAATTTATTCAATATCGGTGTTGGATTACATAGCTTCATTTACTAAGAACTGATTTAATGAGATTATGCGTACAAAAACGAATCGACGTAGAGAGTGCCGGAGAGTTATATAAATATATTATATATAAATATATTATTATATAAATATAAACATAAACAATTACTCCATGGCGAGAAAGAACTGAGAAAGAACTGAGAGCTTTTTGTCAATAGGTGACGATATTCTTTTGGTCTTTATGACCGGTATTTAGTCTGCTAGAGCAGTTCGTAGAGTACAGATGTTTTTCTTCCTCGTGCGATTTTAATAAAGAACAGTAATTAGATTCAAATTCACTGTGTTTTAAATAATTTAACTTCCCATTTCCAATAATCGGTATAATAAAGTGAACTAGGAGTCAAACATAGAAATTAAACAAATATTTCGAAAATAAAAGATTCTACATGAAGTTTGAAGTGTTTTTAGCCAGGAAAATAAGGCCTCTTAGGGGTGGGTGGGGTAGTATGGACACCTGGGGTAAAATGGACACCCAAAGAATTTACGAAAACATTTTTTTTTGGAAATTCAATTTTTTTTCAATTGTTTCATTGGGCAGTTTGTACACCTGATAAATCCATATAGGATAGACTAAAGTGGACGTTCAAAAAGTTTTCAATATGCGAATTTTCCAAAATTTGTTCTTGGCAAAATCCGCAACCGAAAAATTATTCAAGAGTGAAGTAAAATGGACACCCGAAAAAGTTGATTCTATTCAAAAGTCAAAACAATTTTCAACAGGCATTTTCCAACAGAATGGTGTATCTTTTTATAGAGAGACATTGGAGTTGGAAGAGATATTAACAAATAAACTTCACCTCTATCAAATTTTACATTGAAGTTTGAAATATAAAGTAGCCTTGGATTTCCTGTTTTACTATAGAAATAACTTTGAAATAATTTATTTTTTCAATGAACAATTGCACGCTCTATATAACTGACCTTTTGTCAATTTGCGAAATTTGTAAGATGGCTACTTTTCTGCGGGGGAGGGGAGGATGAATGAGCAACGAAAAATTTGGTTTACTACCCCCCACGACGAAAGTCAAAAATGAATTTTTTTTTTCAATTTGAAAATCGGAGTCATGACTAGTGTTTCAGAAATTGGATAATATTGTTGAAACATAAGAAATTGAGAAGAAAGGAATCAAGGTGTCCAGTTTACCCCGTTTTTGCTTTACCTTACAACTCCTACGACGCAGTCTTATAACAATGTGTCCATTTTTATAAACTTCAAATGAAATCGAAACAGTAGATTTGATCCCATTCAACGCATTATTTAAATCATATTGGTCTTCATATTGCCTCACCCTCCCCTATTTTTCTTTCTTTTCCCTTAAATGAGCTGACTTCCTCCTCAAACACATCGCATTCACGCTACGAGAGCCTGCAAAAGCATGGAAAACTCTTTGGCCGACGTGGACGTCCATCAACCCGGCACAATCGGAGAATGTTTCCCAACACTAAATGGTATTAGAGTATATAACTATCAATTCCAAAGAATTTTTCCAGGAAACTGAGTTAATTCGTCATTGAACAACAAAAGAAATTGAAATCAACAAGAAATTTGAGCCGGACTCGATTAGGTAAAAAATAACTTGAAGGGACGACTGGGTCAAATTATGACCTTTGTGGGGTTCATACCACCTGCGTCCCCGTTGCGAACCCTAGGTAATGCTAAATGCTGGTGAAGCTTGATACTTTAAGAATAAGTGCTTCACTACAGGTTGAATTTATATGAATACCTCACAATTGAAATTTAAAAAAACTGCTTTTGGAAGGGAAAGCGTAGAATGGGAAGTCCCGGACATCTACATGAGCATCCATGTTACTAAGTGTGATAGTTCAAAGATATTAAATTCATTTATAGCAACCAATTTCCGACACAATATACGTCAAAATACTTCAATATCAACGTAAAAACTATAATATTTACCCATCAATATCCCAAAAAAATTGGAGGTGCTATATTATCTAATTACCTACTAAATCGCGATGATTTTCGCTGGATGACATCTCTTATTATTATTTCAAATGTCTAACTATCAGAAAAGCAATGATCATTGATGAAACTGATTATTCAAAAAGAATCTGTCTTCCAAAGCAAATTCTTATTATTCATGGCAATATCTTGGGAATTAATTATTTATTTATTTATTAATGCCAAGTATGGCCTACTCGGCCTTTTACATTATTTTAGATGAATATCACAGTTGCGTAGTAAAAGATTAGAATATAATGTAGAAACAACAACTATAAAATGATGTAGGTAATAATAATAATTATAGAGAACTCTTTGAAATAGGCACTCTGCGTCCTGAATTATGTTAAGACTTAGGACTCAATTTACAGAAAACGAAACAAAAATTATTTTTCTTCGGAATCAATTATTTTATGTAGAAACGTCGGAACAGTTTCTTCTATGGCTGGGGCAATGTGGAATGGGATGTTCCTGGACATTAACTCCCTGCATTCATAATTACCGAAATCATTGAATAATTAATGAGAGCTGTTGTTCCAACTTGACCGGTTTTGACACAGCATCATAATATTCTAATGGGCCGGGTCAAGTTCAGTATTATTTAAAATTCAATAATAAACCCGATAAATTTTGTTTTTGTTCTTGTATCTTTAATTTCTTACTGAAAAAATTGTTTACGCACTGATGTGAATTATCTACTGAGTTTGATCACTTCTCCAATGAGAAGAAAATTTACGAACAATGGAGCAATGAAATAAATCCCGTGAAATATATCGAGAACAAAATATCCTGAGACATCGGTTCTCCTTTACTGAATAATTTTTTACCCTCTCAATATCTACAATGAGTCATCAAAGAAACTGATACTATTCCCAACGTTGTTGCCAATTAGATTACAATCACAATGCATTTTTCCCCGTCCATTTATCTGTAATCTTTGTGCAACAAGAAACTTTTGTATCAATTATTAAATAATCAACTTAGAGAGTTACTAGTGTTTGGTTTAGCTAACCACGGTTGAACCTCGGTTAAAGTTGATTAACTCCCGGTTGAGTAGTTGGTGGACTTTACTTATCTTTAACCATAGCGTAACCCTGAATTAAGTTAAACAAAAGCTGGCCCCTATAGAACTCAACTCCTTTGTCCATTGAAAGAAAAAGTGAAAATTTGCCAAGTCAAGGAAAACACTCCAAGCTTTAAACCTTCGAGATTATTCTGATAATAGCAGTAAAAAAAGTTTTGTTTTTAAGGATGTTTAGCCAGTGTCGGTAAATTGTCAGTAAAAGTGTTTTTTTTTTATGGTCAAGGAAAATTCTGTCATTTTTTCGACTGACAGCAGAACAGATACAACTAACTTTTCTAACGTTAAAAAAAAGTTAATCGCAATAGTCTCGGCACAAGTGAATAAACTAATGTTTTCTTATATACGGGCTGCTATGAAATTTATGTTCAAATTGATAATTCACCTACTATAAGACTCTAAAAATAGAAATAACAAGCAGGTGTTCGGGCCTTTTTGGCCGAAGCCATCTGACCGTTACTTTATGTGTTATAACTCTTCTTCTTTCTTTCATTTCTACCAATTCCATTGGTAGTAAGCTTCCGAATGGATCTGTAGTAATTTTATCAAAGAAAGAAAAAAAATGGAAACACCAAACCCGCTCAGATTAGATATCAACAATGTCAGTGGAAATAACTGCCTCCTGATGAAAAAACAGAAAAACGGAAATATCTCGAAAACTTTGTATGAACGGGTATATATGATTTGATTGATTCGGATAAAGGGTATCGAAACAAATATTTTGAAAAAAAAAATTGAAATCGGTTGCGTAGTTTTTAAGCTATTGCACATAAAAGGTTTTCAGAGAAAGTCGAATATCTCGGTAACTACCCATGCGATTGAGCTTATTTTCAATAGGAAGGATTGTGATCATCCGAGGAAGATTCTGTACAAATTTCAAGTTGATATCTCAATTTTTGCACAAGCTAGAGTGATTACAAGGAATTTTATGAAAAAACAGAAAGACGGAAATATCTCGAAAACTTTGTACGAACGGGTATATATGTTTTGATTGATTCGGATAGAAGGCAACGAAACAAATATTTTGAAACAAAAAATTGAAATCGGTTGACTAGTTTCGAAGATATTAGCGAAAAACGATTTAAAAACGAATAGCTTTTTCTCAAAAACTATTTGATCAATCGGGCTGAACTTTTGCACAGAGTTAGTCCTTGTTAAGGTCTACAATCTGACAAAATTTCAGATTTTTTGGAATAAGTTTAGCCAATTAATTACTCAATTTTCCAAAAATTGACCACCGGAAAGGTGGCGATGGAGATTGACACCGACAGACATGGTCGCCAAACTTCGTATTTTTACGTTTCAGTCTATTCTACCTCATTTCCAATCATAATTAGAAAATGTGAAAACAGCATGATTACAAGGCTTCCATTCGGAAGCAAAAATAGAAGGCAATGTGTAAAATCATACTGAATCCAATGGCCAGAGAAAAATCTGGGGTATCCGGGCAAAAAAGGGAAATATTTCAATGATTCTATCCTATATAGGCACATGTTAGCGCAAGAATTTGGTGCTTTTTGTCTATTTAATTTCTAAATAACGAACATGGGTTGGTGAATTGAAATTCATATCAAAGTGAAAGGAAAATCTTCATCTCCCAGTTGAAAAAAAAATCATTTTTTTAGTGCTTGCGATTTTGGATAAACATTCTTCACATCAATATTGATCAAAAACGCTCGGTTTAGTAATACGAGTAATCCCCTAATTTTAAAGTTTCTGGCGTAGAAGGGAAAATCCTGAAGCAATAAAGGTCACATATACTAAATCTAAGTCTAGACATGTAAATGTAGTCGGATAACAATCAGAGCTACACTGAGAAGACAAACATTTTTTTGAGAAGTACGTTTTTACTTGTGTCAAGAAATTCATCGCTCGAAAATTACCAAGCGCATAATATCTCACACTAAGAAAACTAAATCTTACACCAAGAAATTTTATGCTTGTTCGAAAGATGAGGGCAATTGGTTCATATCAAGAAAACCAGTTCTCAAATCAGTTCAAGTGCTTTTTGCCTTAAAATATTTTATAATTGAGGCTAAAAAACAATTAAATGAATTAATTTAATTTTACTTGGTTTGAGAAATCACTTTCTTGTCATCTAGAAATTGTCCTTGTCTTTAGGACAAGTACAAAATTTCTTGACGAAAGTTTTTTTTTCTTAGTACAAGATATTTTGCTATAAGTAAAGACATATTTCTTGAAAAACTTTGTTTTTCTCAATGTTCGTCAATTTTTCTTTCAAGCTTTGAAATTTTCGACAAATAATTTAAGGGCAATTGATGAATATTGCAGATTAATAAGAAAGCCATCTCTGCCCTCCTCCATTTGCTGTTCCGAAACATTCCGTTGAAACAACCTTCTCTACTTGATGACTGATTATTGCGACAGATTGTATGATATCCATATTTTCCCTCACACTATCCTCCATACTATAATTACTCCCTGGAAAAACCATACCATTTGTCCCTCGACAATATGTTAAATCTCTCCAAAAAGAACGAAGAAATAGTGCGTTAATGACGATGTAAGAATCGCCTGGGCTCTCATACACAGATGATCAAAGTGACAGCTGGAGTTGTGGAATGTAAATACTGTCAAACTTCGAATGTCCCCTTGCATTACCTACATGTCTCTAAGTATGGAGAATTTCCCCTGAATCTCTCGGAAATTTCATCATAGGCCCCCCAAATTTGCTAAATCCCCGATAAATTCTCTACTAAATTGAATTTTGTAAAATACTTCAATCTCAAGGTTGATGTCATTCGTTCTGTGTTCTCAGGTTTTGAATACCCACACATACACAATAGACGTCACACCGCAGCCGCCGCACTCTTTAGTCGAATTCCTCCGCAAAGACTCAATGTTTATATCCAAATATACACTCGTATAATTCACTCATTTTCGATGTATCACTTTGAATTAATGAGTATTACGCTTTGACACGAAATTACCACTAAATAATTATTGAAATAGCGGAGGCTCACCTTCTGCTGTTGTTCATTGGCAGCCATTTCTGATTTCACTTGACAATTCACTCAGCACTCAACGGCGCATAATAAAGATAAAGCTCTTGTGATCTCTCAGTCACTTCTACCTCTCTCACTCTTGTTTTTTTTGTATTTTGCGTTTCGATGCAAACGTTTTGTTGTGGTCTGTCCGCCACCGTCTGCACTTTGGAGATTCTATTCTCCGCCTGACATCACTCGGACGTTCGTCGAAAGGTTTTACTGGTTCTTTTTCGTTCTATTTATTTTTTGGTAATGGTTATAGACGACTTGAGCTTGGACCTGAATGAGTCAGGTGACGTTTCTTACTGCTGTTAAGAGTGGAAATCCCCGAGATTCACAATTTATTGTGGGTAAGATGTGAATTCTTAATAGCCTTTAATACTAAGTTGAGGTTTTATCAGCGGAGATGGAACGATATTGACACTTGCAATGGAATTTGAAAGTAAAACTTTGATGTGTTTGATGAATGAGGAATGACGATTGGGGGAGATGCGGTAATTGCAAAGCAGCGCGGACAGTAATGGGGATTCACTTATTTTTATGGACTTAGCACTTGTGTTTTTGTGCTGTGATTAGGAGTAACAGGAGGACACTGAGATCGTCACGATGTTTTGATCCTACGCGGGTACTACGACACACCACTGCTGTCAATAAGGTAGGTCATGAGCCGGCTGACGATGTCCACAATGCTTTGCGAGAAGTTGGTTTGGGAGTTTTCAAAGAGGGGGAGCCACAATATGGGACGAAGCGGGAAGGTATCCACCAACGAGTATATAGAGCTGCGGGACACCCCAAAAAGCGCTTCTAAATTGACCGACCGACCACTCGCGTTCTAATACGTAGTGCTTTTTTTAAACAATGAAATATGATCACGGAACGTCAAACAATTTCCAATTAATTTTAGGCATTGCAACTATTTATTATCAACAATTTAATTGTTCAGATCGGCCTAGCGCCCAAACCTTGACAGATATACGAAAATTTTCGGATCACAAATCATTTAGAATGTAATAAGGAATAATTTTTATTTTTTGTCAATTTCACATATCTCTTTTAGATTTCGAGATATGAGCAAGAGTTGGGTGACCCAACACAGCGCTCTCAAGCCCCCACCGTTAAACAATTTTGTGGGAAATTTCCGGTACACTTTTTGAAAATCTTTATCGAATTTAATTACCACTGAAATTTCAAGGAATTTCGTCATTGAAAATTCAGAATTTCGCGCAAAAATCAAAGAGAACTGTAAATTCCAGTTCCGTTTTTCCCGGAAAATAAATAGAAAACCAGACAATTCCGGTAATATATTTTTGAATGTTCAGAACAATGACACTGAATGCGATTTAGAGGGAAACAAATTTTGAAATTTCAGATTTCACTGAAAATTCAATGTAATTTGACACTGAATATTCATATTAGATTGGAAATTTAAATAAATTAAGGAAATCTCGTCTTCATGCTGCTTAAAATTCTGGAATTTTACTGAATTTTCAATGAAACCTGAAATTTCACGATTTTTTTGCCCCTAAATCGCATTCATTATCACTGTTCTGAAAATTAGGAATCAACCGTCCATGAAATTTCATTTTTTTTCTAACAGTGCACCGCGCGCTGCAAGAAAAAAGCGCTTTTTTGAGATCGCGTCACTAGTTTATTGTTCATATCTCGGAATCTCTGAGAGATACGTAAAATTGATAATAAACAAAAATTAATCATTATTAAACTCTAGATGATTCATGATTTGAAAATTTTCGTCTATTCTTCATAGTTTGGGTGCTAGGACGATTTAAACAATTTAATAGTTGATAATAAATAATTTCAATGCCTAAAATTATTTGAAAATGGTTTATTTGACGTTTAGTGATATTTTATTGTTTACAAAAATTACGCATTAGAACGCAAGTGGTCGGTGCATGTCTGAAAATGGAGGGTGTCCCGCAGCCTTCAACTAGTTAACTATTTAACTATGTCTCAACAGCTCTATTTTCACTCGTACTAACGTACAGCCCGCCACACTACTTCATTTAGAACTTTAAAAGCAATAAATTGATTTGAAATTAGCACCAATTATTCGTAATGAATGTCATATTTTTTCACACACCTGCACGGAAAGTTCGTACTTTGCTCCCTGATGAGCGGGAGGAAAGCACAATTAATATTTACACCAAACCCCTCCGAAAATGCACGTTTACCGTACTCCGCGGTCTATCAAAACCTCTACTCCGTCTGGATCGCATTTCCCGTTTGTTTGAGCGACTGAATCAATAGTTTTTAGAACTGAAGATTCAAATGAGAGCTAAAACGGGAAAAGGTCAAACAAGGAAGGGTTGAACAGAAGATGCAAACCGTATGAGTGTAATCTTTCGTTAATTTAATTTTTTTTCTTCGCACGTAAATATTTGTTCTAAACATTTTTTTAAATATAAATCTCGTTTGTTATTCCTCGATTATCAATCTAACAATAGTATATTGTGCATCAAGGGCGGAAAGTCATGTTTTCCCGCCCGAGGTGCACATGCTATTTTTTAACACACCTGCAAAAGAAAGTTCGTATTTTGCTCTTTGATGAGCGGGAGAAAAATACGAACTTTCCTTTGCAGGTGTGTTAAAATAGTATATTGTGCATCAAGGGCGGAAAGTCATGTTTTTACGCCCGAGGTGCACATGCTATTTTTTAACACGCCTGCGAAGGAAAGTTTGTATTTTGCTGTCTGATGAGCGGGAGGAAAGTACGAACTTTCCGTGCAGGTGTGTGAAAAAATAGCATGTGCACCTCGGGCGGGAAAACATGACTTTCCGCCCTTGATGCACAATATACTATTGTTAGGTTGATAATCGAGAAATAACAAGCTAGATTTATATGAAAAAAATGTTTAGAACAAATATTTACGGGCGAAGAAAAAAAATTAAATTAACGACAGATTACACTCATACGATTTGCATCTTCTGTTCAACCCTTCCTTGTTTGACCTTTGCCCGTTTCAGCTCTCATTTAAATCTTCAGTTATAATAGTATATTTCGCCATTAGGCCGAAAAAAACTATTGATTCAGTCGCTCAAACAAACGGGAAATGTGATCCAGACGGAGTAGAGGTTTGGATAGACCGCGGAGTACGGTAAACGTGCATTTTCGGAGGGGTTTGGTGTAAAGATTAATTGAGCCGTGGATTCTCTGCTAGGTGAGGAAACTTCATTTCTAGAAGTATTCGAAAGGACCAAAAAGAAAATTCATGAAAAATTTACAGCCTGGATTTTTCCACAATATTGCGGAATGGCCCGTATATTAATCAAACTTCATACTATTCCATTTTACGCTGTTGTCCGTTTTACCCTGCTATCCCTAAACATATAATGGATTATCCTTTGTTTATACTCAAAACTCATTGATTTTCTCCCATTCTTTGTCTGATTCATTCGGTATACCGAACGTCCCTCTGCTATAGTGATTTGCATCGCAAATGTTCTAGGGATTTCTTCTCCGTTCATAGCTAGAGGTGTGAATGCGTCACATGAGACGTTATATGACGAGGCATTTATGACGGCTGTCATAATTCCTCCCCTCCCCTCGATGACAGTTTGCCAAAAAAAATATGACTGTCATTTTTTATCTATATAGAGGCAACTTAATTTTTTCTTTATCAATGTTTAGCCCAATACACATTAGCCTAATGCACATTTTGAAATGAAAATCATGGTCATTTTTTATCTCCATAGATGAAACTATTTTTAACTTTCCGACCCAAAGGGAGGAAGTTGTAATGACCGCGAAAATCAAATTTGGAATTTTCATGATTTGTCGACGTTTCATGAAGTTTAGCATTATTTTCAATCATTTTTGGAGACATGTTGGTATGTATGTGTGTGCATGTACGTAGATCAATAAAATTTTGTTTAACGATTTCTCCAGAACCAATGGACCGATTCAAAAATAGTTTTTCGCCATCGATAGGTCTTTGTGTAATTTAAAACTGCTTAGTTTAAGAAGACGATCGCCTCAGCAGTTCTTCAGTTATCCTGGAAAAATATGTAAAAAAACGTCAAAAATGATTTCCACCCCCTCCTCCTCCCTAGTCCGTGTGACAGAAGGGCACATTAGGGCTCTGCACAATCGGCCGGCTGTACGATTGGGGTTTTCCATGGTTTCCCTTGCAGTCCTAGCCCGAATGGGGTACAGTTAAGGGGTAACGGAACCGACCACAAAAAGACGTTTACCAAAAACAAGTTTTCTTGGATTCCATACAATGAGAAGCAATGAAACTGTTTCCCCGTATTGAGAGTAGCGGAACGCATCGCTCTCTTCTCATGCTTTTCTTATTTATGCAAAAAAAAATGCAAATTATTTAACGGGAAGGACTAGGACTAGGCCGACGCCATTTTATTTGTTGGAATCTGCCAAGTCATGGTAGAAAAACCGATTTTTATAGATTTTTCTCAGCCGATGGCTATTTTCATGAGAAGAGAGCGATCAAGTGAGGTTCAAGACAGAGATTTTGAGTACAAAAACGTACTTTTGTTGCGTAATTTTTGTAAAAACTTGTTTATGATGATTGGGTTGTATCCAGGAGGTAACATGTCCTTTACAGGGCACCAATTGTAAGAGGGAAGTACTTTTACGAGTCAGAAGATGATGTAGAATGTTTCCATACCATTATTATTTATTTATATCCATTTATTTATATTTTATGGGCTTTTGTACTTTTCACGTACAAAATCCAAAAAACCACGGGAACCTGCAATACCGATAGGGGGGACCCCTAACCTCTACGTGCGACGGGTTCCGTTACCCCTTAAGAGTAAGACGGCCCATGGTAACGCAGAAAAAATCATTAGAGAGAAGTGGGAGAGGCAAGGGAGACGAATGGGGAGCCTATAAAACCGTAATGGTAGTAGGAAAGAAATATGAATAAAAAAAATAATAATTTAGAATGGTAAAAGGAAAATCGTAAAAAAAATCTGAGTAGTGTAATCGTCTCGTTCGTTTTTAATTAATCATTCAAGTTTCTGCTTATACACGAGCTTTATGAATGCTATTTTGTCCCTTACCCCTCACACTGTTGACAATGTGCTAGTCAACAAAGGAATCTATATTTATCTATATTAAACCCTCAAAAATACGGTCATGAAGTCTCATCGACTTTGTCGTTAATTTGTTGAATAAATTAACGATAAAAATAATTGGTACGATGTCTGTCACTATCCAACGTCCGCCATGGTTGATGTTTTGTCTCTCTCGAAAATAACCTCACTAACTTAACCATTTTACGCTCCATTCACCCGTGCGCCCATGCACGTTTGGTTTACTGAGAAGACTCCTTAAGGATATCCAAGTAGTTCAGGCAATTTTTTCTGGGGGAAATCCCCTTCAGAGTTTATAGACTAGACCAAGAGTATTTTTTAGGCGCAGTATAAACTTTAGTTTCCGAACATATTTTCGAGAAAACGATTTTTGAAAGAATGAAATTTAACACATTGCGTCCATAAGAGCTGTATAATCCCACCTTCAATCCAATAGTTCATAGTCTTAAAGCATTTTCTCGTACACATAACCGTATATGACTTTGTTCGTTACACTCTCTAGTTTTTTTTGCGACATTAAA